ATAAAGAAGAAATAGATTTATTATGACCCAAAAGGACTCTAGTGAGTCATTCTTTAACTTTCTGAATACATTTTCTTCTTTTTTTGAGACAGGGTCTCACTTTGTCACCCAGGCTGGAATGCGATGGCATGATCATGGCTCACTGCAGCCTCCATCTGTCAACTCAAGTGATCCTGCCACCTCAGCACCTCTCCCCAACAAGTAGCTAGGACTACAGCCCCTGCCATCATGTCCAGCTATTTTTTTTATCTTTTATTTTTATTTTAAGTAGAGATGAAGGGTGCTTCTTGCCCAGGCTGGTCTCTGAATCCTGAGCTCAAGTGATCCTCCCACTCCAGCCACTCAATGCTGGGATTACAGGCATGAGCCACTGCGCCTGGCCAAGAAAATACTTTCAATAATCAAAGCATTCTGAAGACAGAACAAACATCCCCAGAGTTAGTGAGTTCCCAGATAAGTGAGGTGTTCAAACACTGTTTTGATAACCATTTTACTAGGATACTGAGGAAAGAATTCAACCATCAGGTCGTTTTCTTCTTCCTTCAGACTCTGACATTTTTTGACTATTTCTAAAAAACAATGTTTCTGGCCAGGCACAGGTGGCTAATGCCTACATTCCCAGCAAGCCAAGGTGGAAGGATCACTTGAGCCCAGGAGTTCCAGATCAGCCTGGGTAACATAGAAGACCCTGTCTCTACCAAAAGTAAAAAAAAAAAACAAAAAATAGCCGGGGCCAGGCACAGTGGCTCACGCCTGTAACCCCAGCACTTTGGGAGGCCAAGGCAGGCGGATCACAAGGTCAAGAGATCGAGATCATCCTGGCCAACATGGTAAGACCCCATCTCTACTAAAAATACAAAAAATAGCCGGGCATTGTGACACGTGCCTGTGGTCCCAACTACTCAGGAGGCTGAGGCGGAAGAATCGCTTGAGCCCAGGAGGCGGAGGTTGCAGTGAGCCGAGATTGCGCCACTGCACTCCAGCCTGGCGAAAGAGCAAGACTCCGTCTCAAAAAAAA